GCTTGGGCTGGACACATCGGTGATAGGTGGCAGGTGAACCGGGGACGGAATGGTAGCCAGAGTCGAGAAGGCGACCGATGGGATGATGTTGGTGATGGGATGATGATGATGATGGGATGATGATGATGGGAGCGATGCAATCAAATGATATGCCAGAGACAGATTGATTACACTGGTCAACAAAAAAAAATTGTTTTCTGGCCTGGACTTTTGCAGCTGTTTTAGACTAATTTCAGGGTGCTGATTCCAAATCTGATCTCAGATTTGCTCTATCACATCTCATTTTTATGCTATCGGCATACCCCATTTTCATTGATTTTACCCGAAATTAACTCTGTCACTTATGATTGCAAGTTGTTGCGAGTCAGTGACTGCTTTAGTGTTAAAATATGGTGCTGTATTTTTAGGATAGTGTGTTTATAATATCATTTTATGTAGATATCCACATTTATTTAATATTTTTCTTCTGCAGTTTTTATTGAAAATGCAATATTTGATATCTCAAAAACCTGATGTGATAGACAAAAACTGATGCCAGATTTGGAATCAGCACCCCAAAATTACATTAAAACCGTTGCCAGTAAAAGTGTGTTGACCAGTGTTATCGTGGCTTCGCAGCACCGTTAGGGATGGCGACACGACATGGAGACATGAGTTAATCCAGCAGTGTGTAGATCATGGTTGATAATGATGGGACTCTGACATTGTAATTTATAATACAACCCATTGCAGCGGAGCAATGAACACAAGTATATAATTAAAAAACCCGTGGATTACAAGAAATCTGTTCGTTCACTCCTCAAATAATTACTGGTTGTACATTTTGTACAATTAAAAAAAACTGACACTGTGTAAGTTTATATATATATAGCTGCTTCCAAGGTCGCTCGAGTGAGACTCATCTCCCCAGACTGGGGAAGGTTCGTGTAGCCACACAGCGCGTGCAGAATCCGGGGCATGCGCCTCGCGCCTGTCACGCAGCCCCGGCGTCTGTCGTTCTCGGCCAATATCAAAAGGACACTCAATTAGATTCAGGGCGCCATCGTCCAGAGCCCTGGGCCCCCACCACCCATCCCACCGGGCAGCAGCCACTACGGGGCGCGGTGATGAATGCCGCCTCTCCCTCCCCCCTCGACAGTACCAAGCCTCCATTAGACAGCGTCTGTACCACCACTACTACCACCTTCCGTGATGCTGCCGATGCTTGCTGCTGTTGCCTACAATGGGGGAGCCAGGATTTTCAGGTAGGGGGGGGGGGGCAACCCCTCCAGCAATGAAAAATGATAGAGGAGTTGTTAGTAAGTAAGGAGTTCATCTTCTTGGTTCTTTCGGTAAAGTCACGTAGAAGGGAAATAATAAAATATATTTTTTTCAACATAATAAAATTAAATTCTCACGACGTTTCGGCCACAACGCAAGCAGCCGTCCTCAGGTGAAGAACAGGGTTGTTGGAAAGACAGCGTCCGAATGAACACCACCAAGCTTGGCAGCCTATATTTAAGCTAGGTTAGGGGAGGAGAGCGCCTTGACAAAGGAATTTACATATCGACAGAGGAATTTAGCATATTTATGGAAAATGCAGTTATGGGATTAGTCACTACTTGTGGAATGTGTAGGTGGTGTGGGAGTGGTCAAAGTCATATTATGCTCGTGTATTATGTAGGATTAGCAGTCATAAAGGGAGGAAGTAGGATTAGCAGTAATAAAGGGAGGGACATTTTAATAGTAAGAAGCTGCAGCAGCCAAACCACGTAAAAAACTGAAATATAAACTACATCAATATCATGAATATCATCAATATACTCTCCAAATTTCCCTCCCTTTATTACTGCTAAGGTGAATGCCTTCAGGGAAGTCGTGCACTGTATACGCAACTGCGCACAATTCTGAGTCACTTATAACTGCTTTGCCGTTACTTATTGCTAATTATGGACTCAGACTATTGTCCTATCATCTCATAGAGTCCCTGGCCCGTAATAATATGCTACACAGTGGCAGTGGGGGTCGCAAAATGCCGATTTATTACTAATAAACCCCAATGATCCGATCGAAATTAAGGATTTCGATCAGATAATTGGGGGGGGGGGCACGTGCTACCCACCCCCCACTGGCTCTGCCAGTAGTTGCCGAGGTGTAATTGAAGCGAGCAATTGATTTTTTTAAACCATGTAAGCCCCGCTTCCCAACTGAGCGACACAGCATATTTTTCAGATGCGACCTGGGGCCATCACAAATGGTAGCTCGGCCAAGTGGCTTATCGTCGTGTGGACATTTGGTCAGCACGCACGACACATTCGATCTCCCGGCGCGGCCAATTGAAAGCATGTGCTCGTGTTTAACTCCCCCCCACCCCCCACCACCCCAATCCCCTCCGTTGACTCATCGGTGCAAGGAGTGTCGTCAACGTGTGGCGCGCCCGCAGTTCGTCGACTGGCAATTCGGTAGCGTGTGGTGGGTGCTCCCGCGTGGAAGAGTAGGCCAAATACCAGATAGATTCCTGAGGAGTGTGGGGGGAGGGGAAGTTTCTCTGTATCACCCTTCAGAGGTCAAGGACTGTGTCGATGCAAGCAATGAGTTGCAGGGTTGCTCCTCCTCTACCCCACGTAGGGCTGTCTGCCACCTCTTCCGGAGCCTCTTTGCAAAAGACTTTGCGCTCCGCTCTTCCGCGGAAATTGATGCGGTCGGATTATGGAAACGGGAGGCATTTACTGCGTTCAATCCCCACAGCTCATTTATACCCCCTCCCCCCCTTCCCACCCGGCCCCCAGCACTCGTTAGCCTCGCAACGTCAGCGGTCGATTCTCTCAACCTCGAGCCTCCGTTGGCGCATTGCAGATTGCGCGATCGAGCGCCTGTGGAGTGAACCCATCTGTGCGGAGTTTCGAACGGTTTTTTTTTTGCTGTAGGATTTCGCCCGGAGGGGGGGGGGGGGTGGAGTTATTTTGGTTTCGTCCCGCACCTCCGATTAGCACGGTTGGCTACGTACGGTGTGAAAGAAGTCCAACGTACATGCAGCACACACGACCCACGGCTATTGTGACGATTCCGCTCGTTGACCTGAAAGAGCCTCGCCGAGTCTCAGGAAGGTCTTGCCACTTGGAGTCAGACAAAACACCAAGACAACCCAATCGATGCACGACCTTCCAACAAAAAAGTGTCCCGAGACCCAGTGAGGCTTTCATTTGGTAAATAACAGCATGATGTGAATTTATATTTTTGCTGTTAAAATTCACGCTTACCGCGGCGTTGAGCTGACGACGAAGCCAGGAGATGGCGGTACAGGAATAGTTTCAGTCCACACACACACACGGACACGCATTCAATGATTCACAGATTCAAAACAAATCTCCTGCACGCAGAGCTTCGCCCGTTATATCCCCTCCACCGGTTTTTTTCTCATTCAGGGCACTGGCCAAACATTCAGATGCAGGACCTCCCAGCAAAATAGCCGCAAGGCTCGGAGAGAGATCTTCCCCGAGCATGCAACCGGTGACATTTTTCAACGGCGACGCAATCGTCCCCAATTGCAGCCGTGGTCACCTGCGCGAGTGCTCGCTTCGAACCGTCAGAATTCGTTCCGTCGGCGCGAGGCAAGGCTCCGAAACACGCGAGGCCCTCGCTGCCGAGGGCACCGCGCGCACAAGCCACGCGTCGCCTGCCGAAAGCGTTCGTCGCCTTTTCCGTTTGACCCTTCAGACCGTGGCTCACAAGCCCCCAACGTTCGCGCACAAAAAACCTTGCGCAGCGATACGGCCAGCGCATTTCCATCGGGGAGGGAGACTCGGTTACCAGCGGTGGAAGATGTTCACGATCTATCCTCCTATCCCAGTCAGTTTTGCGGCAGACTGAACGCAGAGCGATGTTATTCCACGGGGGCCCATTCGGGCGGCGCGCATTCGTGATAGACTGGATCCGTGCCAGTGAACGATAAAAAAAAATATTCTAAATTTTGTAGCACATCCTTATTTCCCCGTCACCATTTTCCTCCCCTCCCCCCTCCACGATATGCCCTAGAGGCTCGGCGATAAATTTACCGAGTTGGCACCGCATATACCCTGGATTTAAATCCAGAATTCAATCACCAATAATGAAACTAGGCCCTCGAGCATGGGAGAGTTGATGGTCTCGGTCTGCGTCGACTTAACAAAAAACAATTCCATCTCCTGAGAGTAAAAATTATATGTTATCGGTTTGACTGCGACGCGACACTTAGAAATGTTGTGGACTGTAGAGGTCACTTAAAAACGTCCCGGAAGTAACGAACTTGGGGAGTTTCTTGAGCACAAAGTGACGATGATAAAACTGCCCCGAGCGTTCCGAACAGAAAGGGAATTAATTTCTTGACACCGATAGCACACCCAGAATAAAATTGGGAAAAGTGCAAAAAAAAATATCACACCAAGTTCTTAATTATCGTGGCTTTGCAGCATGAACAAAAAAAACTATACAGTTAGCTAATGATACAGGGAATATCCCATTCTTTTACTCTGGAATGGCCATTGCCAAATAACAAAAATTTGATGTCACATCGCAAAACGTGAGCCAACTAAATGTTATGAGACAATGTTCACGATGCAAGTGGTGAAACTTTGGCGGCTTCGTCATGTCCACCGGTGCCACAGCACGCCCCCCCCCCCCCCCTTGACGTTTCATTATTTTGCCATCAAGTGCGAGTGCAGCTTCGTATCGTCTCTTTTGCCCCTTTTTTTTATTCTTGAGTCTTTCAAGTCGGCAAGATAAGTGCATCCACATCATCGGGTCAGGGAGGGTTTGCGGGAAGAAAAAGGGGGAAAAAATCCCACCGGAGACGATTTTCATTTCCGTGCCGACGAGAAGAGGGAAGTTCGTTAGAGGGCTCACTCTTGTGCGGCCTCTTAAGACCCGTCACGGATAATTGGGTGCCGAATTCTAAACCGCAGAAAGATATTCTGCCCTCGTTACGGAGCAACAATAACATCGCGATGCCAAAGTAGGAAGCGAGGGAGGCGGGGTGCAAAATATCATATGCTGCTAAACCCTGCCTTTATTTGGAGACATACATTGAAAAGAGTCATTTGCATTTTTCAGACAGAATATTGATATTGATGATAATAATAATAATAATCGCGCACTACACAGGCTTTTATAAACAACAATTGGATAAAATGTTTCCCATCGGAAGCGTTACAACTGTGCGATTATTTACATGCGACGAGCCGAAGAATATTTGTTTTTTGTCCTGCCCATTGAAAGAAGCGATGTGGGTACGTCCGTGCGAACACGCACGCACGCACGCGTACACGCACCACTACACGCGTACAACCACAAACTAAACGCACTGCAGCACTAACTACCCTCCGGAGGCTTCGCGGGGTTTTTGCATCACAAGGCACCGTACCGTAAACACTAACATGAAAGGCGTATCAAGTGGATGAAGGAGGCGGAGGCTGGGCAAAGTGGCAGAGGTGGAATCAATGTTCGGGATAGACCTGGGCAGGTGCACGTGTTTGCGTCTGGTTTGGTTAGAACCAGGGAAAGGATAGCGTCTGATTGAATGGTGTGGTTAGGGTTAGTGTCTGATTCGTATAGTTAGCGGCAGGGCGAGAGTCTGGCTGTCTGGTTAGAGAAAGGGCTAGGGTATGGTTGTCTTGTGTGGTTAGCGTTAATGGCAGGGGTAGTGTCTTGGCTGCCTGGTGTGGTTAGAGTCAGTGGCAGGGTAGTGTCTGGATGGAAACTGTGGCCAAGGTCACTGCTATTGTCTGGTTGAATAATGTGGTGGTTAGGCACAAAATACAAAACATAACTGGGCACACATTTGTCAACAAAGCTCGTGGTAGATCTGGGGCATGTGGATGGCGAGCGCGAGGTGGCTGCAGCAGCCTCTTTAACCTGTCGGCGATGACAGCGTCGTGGGTGGGGGGGCAGTGCGATCCGGAAAGAAAACGGGCCGCGCGGGGGGGGGGTGGGGGTGTTAGGGGGGGCACCACGACTGGGGGTTTCGAAGCAGAATGCACGCATATACACACACACACATACACGGACGTACGCACACACAAACAAAACAAAGATCGCCTGTATCGCTTTAACAGGCTGTTGGGGCAAGTGCTGTTAGCGAGCACCTATGAAGGCCAGCACGGCACACGAGGGGATGGGTGGCCAGCACCACGCCCGACCGCCTTTGTCTCCCCAGTAGCGATGTTTTTACACACCGCACCAGGTATTCATTTGAGGCTGAGTCGACCTAGGGGAGGCCCCGGACCCGTTCAGATAATCGTCACCAGTGTTGGCCGTGAACGGGAATCGAACTCGGGTCGCCGGGTTCGTAGCGCAGCGTAGCGCAGCGTAGCGCTAACCGCTGCACTACCGCTCCCCTACACGCGCACACGACAAGCGAGAGAGCGGACGTACGCAGCGCAGCGCGCAGCGCAGCGGCGGCGAAGCTGAAGAGCGGAATGTCTCTGAAGTTTCCCTCGATTTGCGCCGAACGTCCATCGGACGACTCGCGACACGCCGACACATCGGGGTCGTCGCCGTTCACGACCGCACACAGACGAGCCTCGAGCCCACAGCGATTCACGGTCTGCATTTAGACGACATTTATTGTTACAGATTTTTTTTTTATATACGTGTACGGGTTTTGTTGCCTAGTCTCTTAGAAAAAAATAGTTTATATTACATCTGTTTTCATCTAACCTAAGGCCACGTCTAGCGCTACGCTACAAAATAGTTCTAAATATAAATTTAATATTTTTTTTGTATAATAGTTTTATATATTTTTATTTTTTTTGTAATATTTGTCCAAAAAATACATTAAGGCTGCTCATAAAGTTGAAATAGACGTTTTTTTTAAAATATGTACAATGGTTCACAACAATAGTATTTTATTTCTCCAAGCCGTTTTTTCTTCTTTAATCTTGCGTTCGGGTTAGTCGAGGGTCCTGCGTTTGTCGTCGTCGTCGTCGTTGTCATCACGCCGTGGCGTTCACCGTTGGGTCGCGCGCCAGCTCGGCCGTCACGCTCGAGCCAGGCCTCAGCGCCTCCCTGAGGAGGGGGGGGAGGGAGGGAGGAGCGGAGAGAATGCGCCTTTAAAACACACACAAAAAATGTCACGGCCACGTTTTTGAATATTTCATACGGCCGAATGGGTGGGTGGAATTGAGTCCATTAACTGGACTGTACGTGCCCGGGTAACGGGCCTACGAATCCACGCGACGTCAGCGACCGATGTTCATATTCGTGTTTGACAAGCCTCACACATGTTATTATTCACGCGTTATTCAGAGTTGGAGGTTTATTTGATTTCTCAAGGAGGATACTTTTCTGGCCACTGTAGAAATTGGATCGATTTTTTTGTTATCAGGAGGTGACCCCCGTTTAATTTCATCGCAATTTTGGCATTTGTAAGTTACATTTCTGCGCGGTGTTTACACGTTACAGTTGACGTCCTTAACAAAAAATCCTTGCAGGGTTTTTCCACAAATTAATAACATAATTCCATGAACTATTATAAAGAGCTTTAACATCGGTGACCGTGCTTTGAATCTCAAACGAATATATATCATTTTTATTATTCTTCCAGCCCTTTGTCACTCCACATAATAATAATCATAATTAGTTTGCCCATACTTCACCATGCCGATCAGTGCGAGTTAGTGAAGGCGGAGGGGGGGGCATGACATAGGGGTGTAGAGCTGTAGAGCACAGTACAACAATTGTGATCCCAATTTTGAGTTTTTTCCATTATTCACGCTTGCGGCATTTTGTCCCTACGTATTTCTCGTTACCGCTTTGCACGGTTTGTTTGTTTTTGCGCCGTACCCGACTCGCTCCGTCACGTGCGCGCGTGACCTCGTGCGCGGGTCCCGTGCTTAAATAGACTCTCCGCTGGACCCACTTCGAAGCACGTCGCCACAAACCAATTTACGCACATATTGGTCTCGAAAAGTCGACAACTCTCAGCCCCAGCTCGCACACTGCACGGCTCGTCCAGGGAACAGCAGCGTGGTGCAAACGCTCAATTAGAATAGGCACCAGTATTCTATTAATCATGAGCGTGCTCTTGCTTCGTACCCTGCTATGGCACGTGAATACTAATTTTGAAATCATTTGCAGTCGTGTCAATCTGCTCCAGGATCGAGACCTCCCCACCCCGCCACGTGTCAGTCGCGTATAAACACTCGTTAACTGGCCGGAAACATCTCATGTACGGAGGACTGCGGCGCTTGGGAAATTGTTAGCGCCAGCTGACTGCCTGGCTTACAGCTGTGTCTGTGGCTCCTCAGTGATCGTGATATTCGATTTTCATGACTAACATTGCTACATAAAAACTAAACATTATTTTAATTCCTTTAATACTCTGAGAGTTGCTTGACCATACTTCACCACACTAGTGAGTATGAGTTTTGTGTAGAGGGGAAAGTGGGGGGGGGGGATACAGGACCGGTTCAGATGTCATTCTCCCCCAATGACAACTGACATCTGCTCAGGGCGTCTCCGCCTACAGCCTTGTAGACGGACGGTGAAAGGGAACGGGCGATGGAACCCAGCGATGTGGGGGGGGGGTGGTGGGAGCGGCCCAATTAATTCCTCTGGGCTCGTGCCACCCACACTCCCAGCCCGTGCCACCAACGCTCCCAGCCCGTGCTACCCACGCTACCCCGCCCGTGCCACCAACGCTCCCAGCCTGTGCCACCCACACTCCCAGCCCGTGCCACCCACACTCCCAGCCCGTGCTACCCACACTCCCAGCCCGTGCCACCAACGCTACCCAGCCCGTGCCACCAACGCTCCCCCGCCCGTGCCACCCATGCTACCCCGCCCGTGCCACCCACGCTCCCAGCCCGTGCCACCCACGCTCCCAGCCCGCGACACCCACACTCCCAGCCCGTGCCACCCACGCTACCCCACCCGTGCCACCCACACTCCCCGCCCGTGCCACCCACACTCCCCGCCCGTGCCACCCACGCTCCCCCACCCGTGCCACCCACACTACCCAGCCCGTGCCACCCACGCTACCCAGCCCGTGCCACCAACGCTCCCCCACCCGTGCCACCCATGCTACCCCGCCCGTGGCGTCCGCACATACCGGTGAGGCACGGTGATTTTGTTGTAGGTGCCGTTGCCGTCCCCGTCGCGGACGGCGTCGCTCCCCGGCTCCGGGTGCCGCTCGCCGGCCCCGTGCCTCCAGGGCCTGGGCACCGGCGGGGCGGCGGGCATCCCGGCGGCGGCGGCGCCGTCGTCGTACAGCCTCTCCTCCCGCTCATGCGGCCACACCACGGACGCGTCCTCCAGCGAGGGCCCATCCTCGTAGAAGAGGAGGCTCCGGGAACGCACTGCTCCGCCACCGGCACACACGGGCACAATGGGTGAGCGGCAGGTGAGTCGGGGGGGGGTGGGGAGTGAGTGGGGAGTGAGTGGGGGGTGAGCGGGGGGTGAGTGGGGGGTGAGCGTGCGCTGGCGATCGGTGATGAAATTCCTGCGCGGTGTTCCAAGAGTTGCGACCGAATTTGGAAACTGGTTTCTACCCGCGATGCTCGCTGTGTGTTTAACGATGCACCTGTCGGTTGGAGGTTTTAAAGCAATTGTCCCTTGTTTATTCAGAATGTTATAGGAAATAGCACTCGCAGCTTGGTAACGATGAATGTAAGCAATCTTACACTCGACCATACTTCACCACACTGGTCAACGCAGTTTGGTGTGGGGGGGGGGGGTAGGTGGGGGGGGGGGGAGATGGGGGAACCAGGACCAGTCTAGATATCTTTTGCCATGAGCCAGAGCCAAGAATTGAACTCGGCTTCGCCAGGTTAAAAGGACATGCTGCTTAACCACTGTGCCACCGCTCCACCCACTGAAATCTTATCTAATTTAAAATGTATCTCGCTGAAATATTGAGCTCTATTTAAATGTTAATGATCCGTTGTTATTACGGCTCAATGTTCTCGTATTATTATTATTTCAGTGTGTTGAATGTTAATGTTGACTTTTTTTTACCAGATGCTTACTGTATTTGCTTTGTTTGACTCAGTTGTCGAGAGACCTGCTCACGGTAAACGTGCGCGAATGAATAGATGCAACGCTTTAGCAGCAGGACGAGCGAGAGAATTAGTTGCCCAGGCAGCTGCGTTGGACTCGCAAATGGATTTTAGTAAAACAAGCGACGAATTAACTCGAGGTGGGGTTGGTATCACCGGGCTGTAGGCCGATTCTAAACGAGAGCAAAAGGAATGAATTACTGAATGGGTAAATGAAACAGACCGGGAATCCACAAGCTCTCAACTTAGCCTTAAATAAAGTATATGTGAGCGAACGATTGAATTAATTTGTCCTTTAAAGAGGACACACAAATGAGTTTACCAGAGACAGTCTCAAATGGCCCTGAATGAATGAATGTACATCAACAAATTATTGAGTAAGCAACAGAGAGACAGGCAATTTCTATGGGCTTAACTAGTGTCAACCAATGAGCCAATGATGGAATGAGTGAATGAGTGAGCAGATTCATGAGGGGATGAGTGAATGAACGAGTGAATTAATAAGTGAGTTAGCAGATGAGTGAATGAATGGGAGCGAATGAGTGAGTGAGTGAATAGAGGAGTCAAACACGCAGAGGAGGCGGCACTCACTGCGCGTGGTCGTGTACGCATCCTTGCCCGTCAGCGCCACCTCCTCCGAGTGGCCGGACGAGGGGGCGAGCGAGGAGGGGGCGAGCGAGGAGGGGGTGAGGGGGCTCAAGCTGGGGGTGAGGCCGCCCAGCACCAACGCGAAGCACAAAGCCACGACCTGTCGTGGAGAGGCAGAGAGTGAGGGGAGGGGGGGCAAGGAACCATCAGAATCAGTATTTTATCCTGGAGGAATCCGAGGAGCTATAAAGCTCTTAAATTTCGATTGAAAGCTTTCGTGACTGCAGGGATTCATCTTCTTGGTTCTTTCGGTAAAGTCACGTAGAAGGGGAATAATAAAATAATTAAAATAAAACATAATAAAATAATTCTCACGACGTTACGGCCACAACGCAAGCAGCCGTCCTCAGGTGAAGAACAGGTCTGTCGGAAAGACAGTGTCTGAATCACTCTCTGAATCACTGTCTTTCCGACAGACCGGTTCTTCACCTGAGGACGGCTGCTTGCATTGTGGCCGAAACGCCGTGAGAATTATTTTATTATGTTTTATTTTTATTATTTTATAAAGCTCTTGTTCCACCGATGTCCATTAGCGGAAGAGGTCACAACTTTGCAACAACAAACGATACAAAAAACACGATGGGAGTGTAAAGTATAGGAAAGGTAACCAAATCACTTAAAAAATATAGACAATTAAAACACTTTAAAAATGACAATTAAAAAAAGATTAAATTTTTTTTATCTGACCAGCTAAAGCCGACCGAGCTATTCGCTTTATATTTCATAAGCGACGTGGCCACAAATAAAAGTCCAACAAAGTGGCTTGTCACGTGGAAATTTACAGCAGCAAAATAATCTAAACGCATGTTTCCATCTCGGCGAATGTCCCTCCGCGCATTGCGGACACGCAGACTGCTTTGTTATTCGTTCTTGTTGTTGTTCTTGTTATTCGTTCTTGTTGTTGTTCTTGTTATTTGTTCTTGTTGTTGTTCTTGTTATTTGTTCTTGTTGTTGTTCTTGTTATTTGTTCTTGTTGTTGTTCTTGTTATTTGTTCTTGTTGTTGTTCTTGTTGATCCGCTTCTTTACTCAGGGCGAGCCTCGCTGAGTCTCAAGAGACTCTTTTTTCACAAGGGGGGTCTTGCCAAGTTTGTCGCAGCAGAGGGCGATGTTCCTGCTGTCGCTACTCCTGCTGCTGTGAGTAATCGCACACCGAGTAATAAGTAGGTCACGCTGCAGCACTGGGGATGCTTTTGTTCGCGTCTTAAACTAAGCTGCTTCTCTTTCCTATACCCTCAGCGGCAGCTCCTCCCACACAACGTCCGCGACTTCACCTACCCAGACAAACACAAGGCTCCCCCGTATAGCCTTAACAGACTTTGGGGCAAGTGCTGTTATAATGAGCACCTATGAAGGCTCGCACGGCAACCAAGAAGAGGGGGGCTGACCAGCACCACGCCCGGCCGCCTTTGTCTCCCTAGCGACGATGTTCACACACCAGGTACTCATTTAAGGCTGAGTGGACCTAGGGGAGGCTCAGGAGGCAGGTTCAGATAATCGTCACCGGCGTTGGCGGCCGTGAGCGAGAATCGAACTCGGGTCGTCCGACTCGTAGCACGGCGTGCTAACCGCAGCACCACCGCTCCACTCCCCCCCCCCCCCCCCCCCCCATTCGGTACGCGACATCGCCCAGTAAAGGCCGCCGCGGCGTGGGTGCCTGTGCCGGGGCGGAACGCGTCGCCTACCATGAGGCACGTGCTGGTCTGGGTCGTCGCCACCTTGCCGGGCCTCGGAACCTTGGACGCGACGAGCGTCTGGAGCCTCTGCAGCTGCTGCAGCAGCGACCTGCGGGGTGGGGTGGGGGTAGAGTCGGAACGAGAAGACGCGATAAGCCACGGCCACTGCCACCGCCGTCCCGGAACAGCAAACTAAAAGTGAAAAGGGGCTCCCACCCCGGCAGAGTTAGGGTGGTAAGGGTTAGTCAGTGCGTACTGTACGTTGAACTTCTTTCACACCGCACGTAGCCAACCGTGACCGAGTACTTGTGGTTATAGTTGGCCAGATGGATTGGGCAGAGCTGGTGCCGGTGGTGAGAGTCAACGGCAGGGCTGCTATTAGTGTCGAATTGCGCAGTTGATTGGAGTTCAAGGCAGGGCTTGTAGACGTAGAGTGCTGGCGACCAGGGTAGCTTAGTTGGGTCAATAGGAGGACCAGTAGCACTTGGAGCTTGTTGGTTACAGTTTGTGTTCGGATTTGTCACTGGTTAAGTAGAATGTCAGGGTTATTAGGACGGCCCGTACCATATTGGCTGCTAGGCTTGTTGGTTATGGTGGTTGGGGTCAATGGGAGGTAATTGCTCGAGGCCATCAGGGATGTAACAGTCAGTGGCTAGACAGTGTTAGTGGCTAGCAGGGCTCGACTGTTAATTGGCCAGAGCGTTCCACCTTCTAAACCGCGTAACCGTTCTGTCAACTTCAGCCAGAAGAAACCATCGGTGCCACATGGGCCGCCTTCCCACTGTGTGCGCGTCTCTCGTGTGGCCACGCGGGGGCGCCCCCGCATGAGAAAATGCGCTGGGGGCTTCAGAGCCCAGCAGAGGCCAAGGGGGTGGTTTTGTAATTCGAATTCTGGCAGGGCCTTGACGAGATGTTTTCTTTCTACTACGACGACGGCGAAGTTGCGTCTTGACGCGATGGCAACCTCTGGACGCTCCAAGTACCCGTCAACCAACACTCGTCCCCCCCCCCCCCCCCCCGCCCTGCCGATCGATGGCTCCTGGCGGGAAATTTTACGTTCACATGGAGGGAGCCAGTCTGTCTGCAGCAGCGGTTCTTAACTTCTACTGCAGCCTCGTACCCCTTTGGTTCTCAATCGTTATGTTTTTTTTATACTGTTAATAGATGCAGAGGCTTTGATGCAACAAAGTAGTTGTAACTTACGTGCCCGTGCTTAGTTTGTGTTTTCGATGATTTACCTTCTAAACAAATCTGGCCACGTCTCGCACCCCCAGAAAGGGCATCTCGCACTCCCAGGGGGTGCGTGCACCCCAGGTGAAGAACCACCGGTCTACAGGATAACCGGAGTACTCTTCGACTTCCCATGTGGTGGCACAAAGCTTTAATTTAACTTTCTGGCCCGGCTTGACGCTGCATTAGCGCCACGCCGTCTCAACTAAACGCGGGTGTTTTTTTTTTACTCCGCGTCTTCAAACACCCTCGTCAAATACCAAACTACGTCGCACTGAGGATTTCCCCCACCGCCGCCTCTCCTCCAATTCCCGTTGCTACCCTTGGACATATGGAAGGCATTACGGCGAAACGCCAGACACAGGCGGATTGTGTCCGTAATGGGGCCCGCGCACGGGCGTGTACTCTCCCACACCCAGTCATCATGAGGTCATTGTGCCCTGACGCCCCCCCCACCGCCCCCCTTCCCCCCCTTTGCAACCCCCCCCCCCTGAAACCCCCCGGGCAACCCCCCCCCCCCCCCCAGCTGCGAGACAGAAACCGGATCGCTCCCCTCCATTCGTTACTCCGTGGACCTCCAGGCCAAGGGTTTTACTCGCTGCTGCTGCTACCCGCGATGGCAAAGCTTGAGTTGCGTCATAAGAGAGTGAATTATGCTATAACCTTGGTTAATAAGTACATGATCCCATAACCCTCTCTCGGAGCCATAAATACAGACTGATGTCGCGAAATATCTGCCACCTCCGGGGTAACCGAATTTCTGCTCTGGCGCAGGTGACGATGTTTCTATGCCTCCATTGCGTGCCGCTTAAAAATTGGACTAATCGTGGTATTCATGCGTTGTTCATCGTTTGCTGTGTTCGTTCCGCGAAGGTTTTTGCCTCCCCGTTAGCGGGGGAGAGGCGTCGTGAAAACGCGACTGACTGCTCGTAAAAGGGAACGAGCGGCCCAAAAAAAATAAGCAACACAAACGTGCCAATTATTTCCTTCACCAAGTGCGGGGGGGGCCCTTCTCAGAACAGCGCCCCCCCCCACCACCGCCTCTGTTTCTATGAATCTCGAATAATCCGGATATACTCTAATCTCATCGATAGAAATGAACGAATGAGGACAAAACCTGAATACAGTAGTGTAGTGACGTGTGCGGAGGGTCAATGCGATATCGTACGCTCACATCGAATTGCCGTGGCTGATATAACGGCGTAGATTTAACTTGAAGACTCGACTGACTTCATTGGACAATCACATTTTAAATGACCTCTGCACGAACTCGTTGCTCTTGCTGCCCGTGGGGAGTTACCATGGGTGATAACAAATACGAGCAGAACGACCGTTTTCATTTGTTTCAAGCAAACAAACAAACAAACGCATATGTTGCTGTATTTGTAACACAAAGGCTTGATTTTCTTTTTGTGGAAGAGGGAGGGTGTGAAAATGTGAAAGCCAACAGGCCGATAGACTCGCACATTTTTTGTTTAATTAATATGCGGAGAGGCAGAATGGAGATTAATTACATCTTGACCTCGCCTGCATTTTCGCAGAATGCTTTGCCAGCTACGAGAGTGTCACATGGCGAGTGGCTTGGCCAATGGCGCGAGCGACCGGATCGTACCTGTTTGCAGTCTCAAGCGTCTCCACTTTTTTTCTCAGCTCGCTGTTTTCCGACGCGCAGTTCTCCACTCTAAAAGCACGGAACGAGGCGGGGCGAGAAACGACACCGCAAATTTACCAATTGCTCGGTCGTGATTCCGCATACTGCAACACGAGGCCACGAAAAAAAATCACCTCGTGAAAGACCCCCAAACGCACAAGATCTCGGGCCCTGATCTTCAGCAAAGGCTCTGGCGGGCCACAACCCCCAAACCGCATCCGCACACAGACCATGGCGGCGGGCAACAGTTGCGGATACTTGATGGATAATTGGAACATTAAAAAAACTCTCCTGTGTGCGGAGTCTGGTCACCCAGAACAGGCCAGGGATCGTATCGCGACTCAACGATCGATGCACAAATACGAAGGAGGAGGCATCGTGATGGCGATTCACCACTCCGCCACTCCTCACGCAATTATCCGGCTCAACGGCTTCGATGTAAAATTGCAGCTGTTGCTCAACACCAACATCCATACGAGGAAGACGACGAAGATAGCAACATAACCGCCCTGGTGTGAATCTCCTGCAGACTGCGTTGGTGTAACGTCGCAGCAGCGCCCTCCTTGGCGCTGGAAGAATGATGACAGCGCCGCTACCAAATGTACCGATGATCCGATTATAAACCAGTGACCATTACGAACACGCCCACATTAGGAATGGCGGGGAGCGCTGCCGCAGGGGTTAGCAATGCTGCGCTACGAATCCAAACATCGGAGCTCGGTTTCCGGCCATAGCTCACATAAGTGCCGATTATCTCAACCGCTGCCCAAGCTGATTTTGCGCCGCGGCGAATTTAGCGTTTAGCTTCGCTCTAACGGTGACTTGTGTCAACAATATTTTCGATTCCTCGTGCGATGCAGTGTTTTTTATTCGTAACTTTTTGGGGGGTTTCCGATTTCCTTAAGTCATTGCTCGTTATTTTTGCCATTGTCATTTCGGTGACCCAGGCCAATTGCACCCCCTATTCCCCAACCTGCGTGGTGAAGTATTGTTCCATAACCTCCATGACTAACACAGCATTGGGAGGACTTCACCATCCAGCGGTGAATTGCCCACAGGACTATGAGATTTGTATTATTGTAACAAAGCGCAATTTGACATTTCACACAAGTGTGCTTGTTTAACGCTCGAGCAAATTAAGACGATGATTTGAGTGTGATTAGCCAGCGTCTGTCGCATCGAATGCAGGCAGTAAAGTCAGGAGTTGTGCCACCACCGAGCCGGAGATTTAATATTCCCGTGCAGGGCCTGCTGGTGGCTCCAGGGGTGAGTGCGTCTGTCAAACAACAGTGACGTAACACCACCCGTGAGCTCCTGGCTTAAAACCCTCACAACTGCAACCTCGCAAACAATCGTTTTCGACATCCATCGGTAAACATTGGTTGAGTGTTTAATGTGGCCAAGGCCGGCTGGAACAACAGGAAGAAGGCAAAGAGCAAAGAGATCAAAGCTCACGGCCGACCTGGCGAATAAGTGAAAGAACCTTTTAAGAATTTGTGTAAATTCTTCCAAGTAATTCCACACAGAGCTATGCGCAAGGCTTATCTGCAATAAGGACTTCCATATACTCACGTGAGTAATTTGCTCTATCTAACTGGTCAATTTTCACGATGAAATCGGGATACAATTTGCAGACAGGGCAAAAAACATGCTTCTAAACAACTTTTATTCATCTCACTTATTTTGAAGGGGACGCTTACAGACGCAGGAGACACTTTGATTTGCAACGAGTGAGAGAGCCCGTTTGAGACGAAGCGAGGCCCGAGCAATGAAAACATCGTACGATGCACAAATGTGGAGCAGTGGCGCTGTGGGGGTCATCGCAAAGCGCCCGCTAACCTGGTGACCCCATTGCAATTCCTGGCGATGGGCTAACCGTCCGATACCCGAACCAGCCCCTGAGCCACACCGAGCAGAGTGGCAAGGTACGGTCAAACGAACTCTGTGACCTTACACGGCGTGGGGAAGGCCTTCATCCAGCAGTGGATTATTATCACACACGGGGGTGGCGGGGGCGGGGGGGGGGTCAGGCCACGGCGAAGCGAGTGCTTCTCGGAAAGACACACTGCCCCATTAGCATTGGGTCACTTATGGGAAAAAGCCCTCGGGTACACAAAACCTGACCTGCGAGTTAGCGTTTCCCAAATCTGCCGACCGGGCCACATTTCCCACAATCTCGCTGCCGCCGCCGCCGCGGTATTTAAATATGCTTAGAAGCTCAGGGTAACGTGGCACACGCGTGCGCACGCGCACTCTTTCCACTGAGAGCCCGGATCTGTTTTTCCATTAGCGGAGCCGGCAGAGAGATAGCGCGCGCGTCACAGCGAGAGGGGAGGGGGCTGGAGAGGAGGGGGTGCGGGGGGTGGGTCCGGGACGAGGGAGAGGGCAACGATGGGAGGTGAATGTTTCATGGCGGAGACCAGCTGCTGGTGGGGGCCCCTCAAATTGACACGGTCGCCCACAATTACTCACAAGCTTTGGCGGTTTGTTTAAAATCATCGTCGTCGTCGTCGTCATCATCATCGTAGGCCATGATCTATCACTGCTACAATTACTGGACATCTATGAAAAAGAGCTTCATAGATATTATGATCTTATCTGATTAAGTGCCTCAGTGGAGAAATGGTATCTCCCTCGCCCTGGTATGCGGAAGGCCGTAGATTTTTCTCCGGGTCCTCTGGTTTTCCCTCAATATTAAAAATGAACATCACACGTTTAGATTATTTGGCTGTTCTGTTATACATTCCCACACGATGATAAGCCACTTCGTTGAGCTATCATTTGTGGCCAGGTAGCCTCTGAAAAAGAGCTGTGTAGCTCAGTGGGCTTTACCTGGGAAAATAAAATAAAAAAATTAAAATGTTGACGTAAAGCTTTCGTGACTGCAGGAATTCATATTCTTTCGGTAAAGTCACCGCTTGTGTTGCGATCGAAACGTCATAGTTTTTTGTTATTTTCTTTGAACCTATCTATGTGCCTTTACCGAAAGACTCAAGGAAAATAAAAATGTGTTTTTTTTTTCCAAAGCCATCCCCACGTCGATTCCAGTCACTGTAGTGCAACGGCCTTGTCCGAAAAATGTGACGAATGAATGCACTCACTTTTTCTCTAAACACTCCACGTACTCTTTCTTTTTCCTTCGGCTTTCTTGTGCTGAAATCTGAAGGGCGCAAACATGACAAAAAAATAAAGCGGTATTAAAACGGTCAACGTTCGTTTTCGCAGCCGTCGCTGTACGGCTCTCCGGAGCAGGTTCGGGATGTACCGCGCGCGTGGGTTCTATTAGGGGGGCGGCATTCCGACGATTCGCTCCATCTGCTGGGGGCTTCTCCAGGCACCGAACCCGAATATAAACAGGTCCTGAAGAAGCTCCCAGCACGTGGAGAGAGACTGTCGGACGATCATGCTGATCGAACCGAAACACTAAGCTGGAATGAGAAATATAAATCTGGATCGGTCAGATATTTATTTTTATTATTATTGCGCAAAGTCAAATGTGCATACCTTGGCACGCGATCTCAAAACAAAAATAGAACCACAACGTTCATAAATAAATAACATCACAAAATGTAACGAAAAAAATATGGGGAGCTGGTGCTTCAATCAAGGCGCCTTAAGAGCAGTCCAACAGGGTATATTGTTGAACATTTACTCGATGACTCATTTTATAATCGAAAGCTATGGCCGCTGCAAAAATATAAACAAACAGTTCAAGACCCATGGCTGTGACAAAACGGCCAAGATACACAGTGACCAACTTCATGCCTTTCTCCCTTTTTAAAAGGGTGAGAGAATCTGTACTTCCCTGCTGCTGTTTAGCCAAGGGACCCCCCCCCCCTTCTCCCCACCCTCGGTGGCAGCTGTCCCTGCGTGGCGCAATGCGAATGCAGGACCCTCCTGCGAATGGGGCCTTAGTCTTCCAAGTAAGGGAGGCGGATGAGGCTATTTCAAATAAAAATTTGGGCCGATTTCTTTAATTCGGTAAAAGTTGGAAAAGTGACGGGGGCACACCGCCCTCCGCAAAAGCAAACGCTTTCACCGCGGTGGAGCGGCGGCAAGCAACAAGTGGCGAGCAACAAGAAATTAGCAACAAGCAACAAGCAACTAGCAACAAGCAGCGAGCAACAAGAAATTAGCAACAAGCAACAAGCAACTAGCAACAAGCGGCGAGCAACAAGAAATTAGCAACAAGCAACTAGCAACTAGCAACAAGCGGCGAGCAACAAGAAATTAGCAACAAGCAACAAGCAACAAGCGGCGAGCAACAAGAAATTAGCAACAAGCAACTAGCAACAAGCGGCGAGCAACAAGAAATTAGCAACAAGCAACAAGCAACAAGCGGCGAGCAACAAGAAATTAGCAACAAGCAACAAGCAACTAGCAACAAGCAGCGAGCAACAAGAAATTAGCAACAAGCAACAAGCGGCGAGCAACAAGAAATTAGCAACAAGCAACAAGCAACAAGCGGCGAGCAACAAGAAATTAGCAACAAGCAACTAGCAACAAGCGGCGAGCAACAAGAAATTAGCAACAAGCAACAAGCAACTAGCAACAAGCAGCGAGCAACAAGAAATTAGCAACAAGCAACAAGCAACAAGCGGCGAGCAACAAGAAATTAGCAACAAGCAACAAGCAACTAGCAACAAGCAGCGAGCAACAAGAAATTAGCAACAAGCAACTAGCAACAAGCGGCGAGCAACAAGAAATTAGCAACAAGCAACAAGCAACTAGCAACAAGCAGCGAGCGGTGGCAGCGTGCGTGGGCGAGCAACCTTGTTTTTGATTTTCCGTCTGATTTTCTTGAGGGCCTTCTCCTCGGCCTTGGTGAGGGGCAGCTTGGTGGGGACGGGGTACCCCTCCGTGATCAGGGTCCTCTTCTCCTCCTCCGTCAGCATCAGGGGACCCGCCGCTCCCTGCAGCTTCTGCAAACGGTCGCACCCCCGATTAGCACGGGGCAGGCTACGTGACACGGTGCGGGAGGGAGTTCAACGTGCGTACGTACAACGGTACGTGTCAGCGCCACTCTGTCAAGGCCGGACCAAGTTCGAGTGGGGGGGGGCCTCCTCCAAGGCTGTAGTTTTTTGCCAGTGACCCCCACCGCTCACCCCCCCTCGCCACTCTACCGCCCACCCCCCCATCAATCACCACCCCCCCTCCTGTCACCCCCCCCCCCCCCCCCCGTAGATTCAGTTCCTTCCCTCGACTGTTTCGCCACCACCGATGGCCGATGCCATACTCTCCGTTGTTATTTCAGTACTGGTTTTAAACGCGATATAAAAAATATACTTGCACAACTGAAATCTATGGCCGCTGCAGGAAAAGCGGACTGAAAAAATAAACGAATGAACGAACGAACTTAGAAATACAAGATTTGTAAAGCCAAATCAAAAGTCGCAGTTTCCAAAACGAGTTTAATTTCGGCACGCGACTGATAATAAACGCGCATAATTACAAGGAGGGCTTTAACTAACAAATTACTGATGGCTTTGTCCAGCAGTGGATTGATCATGGAATGATGACTAAATATGGCCAAACCCATCGGCCGATGGACACATAATTAACTGCTCACTAGGTACTTGGCCTACTCTTCCATGCTGGACAGATGTCTTGCAAGAGGTAGGAGTAGCCACACTTAACGTTTTGGGTAATGGCCCTTTCTTCACAGCACATTTAATTTTTGTACGTGGTATAAAGAAGGATAATTGCCTGAAACGTCCCCTATTATATATGTTTTCTCTTGAGGCCGCACAACGCCATTGACCAATGTGTTCCCTACGAGGGCAGAATGAGCCGAGAGATGTATGCGACCTGGCGCCAAATTAACTTCCGTCCCAGACTAAAACAGATCGTATCATCGGCGGCGCTCGCGGCGGCACTAACATGGGGAGCGGTGAGCAGCGTCGTGTTGGAGAGGGCGGAGGAGGGACCCCGTGCCGGCACCTTCAGTCCCGGCTGTCCCCCCCGCACGGGGCTGGACGGGGGCAGCGAGCGGGGGCTCAGCGAGCCCTCACTGTCGCTGCCGTGGCTGCTGGGGGGCGTGGGCGGGAGGTGAACCCTGTCCAGCGCTGGAGTGTGGGGTGAGGGAGGGTGAGAAGAAGGCAGACGCACGGAATTTTGACGAGCGGCACGCGTGTGTGCGATTACACCGACGCGCGTGGGCGCGTGTACACGTGGGCGGGTGTACACGTGGGCGCGCGTGCACACCATCTTTAGTAGATTTTTATAATTTAAAAAAACACGCAGCTCTGAGCTGCATTTTCGGGTTGTTCGGCACGGTGTCCTTAGGATTTTCCCCGTCGTGCCGAACGACACGTGGCGCAACCCAAAAACGCAAGGGAGCGCTAGGGGTGTCCCGACGTTTCGCTCCGTGCGCTGGGAGCTTCTTCAGGAGCTGAAAATAATTGAGACGGAGCGAATCGCTGAAGGACGCACGGCAGAACCCCCAAAGGGCAGCGCAGCACAACGGAAAAAGTCTGCAGAGCAGTAAAATAAAAAACATTCCTTTCAGATGGTGCCCACATTTTAAGGACAAATGATTTTATTTCAACTCCATCGTGCGTCTATAATTATGAGGATTCAATTTGCCCGCCAACACTCGCGTCACATGCAGCAGGTTAGCACGCAACATCACCCCAATGAACTGGACGCTGTGCGTGCGATGCGTCCGTGATGTAAATGTTCAACTGCACTGCTGTGGCCCCTCGGACACATTTCACGTCAACCGCGATGGATCGCTACGCGGCACGTTTCACTCGACATCCGCTTTACTTTGCCAGTGAGAAGGTCCATGCGTTGATACTGTAAGAACAGCATAGTGTCATCGTAAGACATGGGGAATTTTAGTTTTTTTATGCCACGCTATGGTACAACCAATTACAATTAGTACGTATTTTTTTTTTCTGTATCAGGCTAGTCCAGTGGTTCTTAACCTGGGGTGCACACACCCCCTGGGGGTGCGAGATGCCCTTTCCGAAGTTGCATTCTGCAGTAAAGGTTAAAAACCACGGAGCTCGCCGAAGACGTCATGTGGAAGTTTACCCAAGTCTCAGTTTGCCGATTTAATTTCGTCACTCCTCTCCCCATCTCGTCAACAAACACCCCCCCCCCCCCCCGCTCCCCGGGAAGGGACACTCTCGCGGGAGCTGTCCAGGTAAAATACTTTCATGAAAAAATATCTTTAAAAAATCTGGCTTGACCTTCCTCATTAAATGTCAGTTCGAGGAGGCGGGCAATTTCTCTCCCCCCCAACCCCCCCCCCCCCCCCCCGCCCCATTGCTTTTCCTCGGTGCGAGGCAGCCTCTACTAAGTCTCGTAATGCGTCTTCGGCTGCGTGTCCATTCAGACGAGCGAGCTGCAGTAATTCTGTCTCGTCGCAGCCAGTCACGCTTCGGTCTTTGGCGCGGGTGGTTGTGTAGCCACTGCCATCGCCGCTCGATTAACGTTGCGAAAAGTAAAAACAACACTTTGCTGGCAATATTTTCCTCACGAATCGCATTAACAAAATTAAACGCCGCCAAAACACACGCACACTCTCACGCGTTATTGTCCTCTTGTCACAAAGCCATTTTGGAAGCCCAAGTCCAAAACAAACACCACACACACTTAACCATAATCAAGAAATTTAAGGGTTGCTTTGTTTTTTTTCTCCTCGAGAATTACAGAATTTCTCTGTGGCGACGGCAAAAAGGTGATAAAAGCCATTGTAGCCGGAGCCCGGCTCAATTAGAAGCGAGCGGGCGGAATGAGCGAGCCAGGCATTGGGCCTGCGTCTCTATGGAAACGTGCGTGGGCCGCTCGCTCGTCACAAAACAGCCCCGGGGGCGCGCAGCGGAACCCAGCGACGCTGGCGAACGTGCACACGCGAGCATTCCTCTTCGGATCAGAGCACCTCGCCATATCACACGGAACATTGTTCTACCTGCTATGGATTATACGCGCGCGTGTGTGTGTGCGCATGCGCACGCGAGTGGGAATAATGAGGCGGATTAACTTATCCCCCCTGAGCCCACTCTGGCTAATTGTCGATTCCTCAGAGCCTGAGAGCTGAGTGGCGATAGCTACAGCATCACTCATAGGAAGGGAATACAAATTAGGAAATGCATAATAATAATAACATGAAATCTAAAGGTACAGCCCTGCAATTGCGTGCTCATGTGACTGCTCGTGAAATGGTCTCCAACAAGAGACCCCCTCTACAGAGGATTTTGGTCTACTGTTCCACGCCAGTCAGACATCTTGCAAGAGGTGAGAGCATCCGCGTTTCATGCCAAACAACATTCTCGATGTGTGGCATCAGGAGAGATTTGAAAAACTAAATATATTTAAAACTAAATATATTTTAGGAGGTAAGGCCCCACTGAGCTATGTAGCTCTTTTTCAGAAGTGACCTGGCCACAAATGATAACTCAACAAAGTGGCTTTTCACGTGGAAACTTCTAGCAGCCAAATGCCCTAAGCGCACATTTCGAAATGTGGAGGGAAAAACCGGAGGATCCCGAGACAACTCCTAATATACAAGCATTAGAGTCTGGGTCAAACCCACGACCTGCATGCCAGGTGAGGTAGTTAACATCTCACCACCATGGCGCCCCTCACCTGCTGCACTGGCGCTGAGGAACTGCTCCACGTCATTTGGCTCAATCTTGATCTTTGGCAACACTTTGGGCGGGCACGGCTTGATCTGAAACAATGCAACATGCTTCTGTCATCACCACCATCATCATCATCATCGGCCGATCTTCATTGTCGTGATCGTCAATATCATCATCGATGTCGCTGTCGTCATCATCATTGTCGTCATCATCATTATAGATATCACCAACATCGTCATCATTGTCATCTTCACCATTGGCATTCTCATAATCAACAACAACACTTTCATGGTAATTAATACCGTCATCAATACGGCTAGGATTAAAATTAATAATTTTCTTTGAGCCTGGCACAAGGGAGCATTTAGGATAAGGGCACCTAAAATGTTGAGCAAGAGATATTGGTCAAAACTTCTCTCATCCTCCAACACTCATCGACATTTTCCACAACTCCACGACATAAAAAAATAACAAAATAAAACAGCGAATCTATTCGCTACATTTCTAACAGCAAAGCTGCAGCGGACGAAGCCCCCCCCCCCCTTCCCCAACGGGACGAACGTTCGTCGCGCTCCTCTCGCGAAAAACAACGAGCCGCTATTTTTCTCAACCGAGGGCAAGCAAGGGGCCCACTCGCTCGCACCATGCGCCCCGTCGGATCGCCTCGCCCGCGTCTACCTGCGTCACGTTGGTGGGGATGGGCGATCCGATTCGGTTGCCGTTGTTGCCGATGCCGCCGTTGCTGTGGCCGGCGCCGCAGCCCGCGCTGGTGCCGGGGACTGCGCCGCCGCTCGTGTGCTGGGCGGCCATTGTGCCGCCATTGTTGTTGTTGTTGTTGCCGCCACCGACGACATTCTTGCAGCTCTGGTTGAACGGCCCGGCTTGGGGGAGCAGCGCCGGCGTGGCGAGCATCTGCGTGCTGGCGGAGGTGGCGGTGAAGTCCGGGAGGGCGGCGGCGGTGGTGGCGGTGGCGGTGGGGGCGTCGAACTCGATGCTGTCGGACGGCAGCAACGGCTCCGGCTTGAAGATGGCGGCGCGAGCGTGCTCCGCTCCCAGGGCCCACACGCCGTCCTCCAGGTCTGCACCGCCGACGGCGTCAGCGGAACAGCAAGCAAACAAGCGCGCGGTCAGAAGTTAGACCCCGGGGCATCCCAGACGCACCCCCCCTCCCCCCGGCAACTACCTCAACGAATACCACAACCAAAATGACAACCAAGACCACATTGACCGGAGGGCCTCAATAGAAATGCATTTAGTTCAAAAGCAGCTCTCTCTATTCATCCACCTTTTTGACATCTCAATGTATCATCATCTTTCAATAACTTCAAGCATAGACTACGGGTCAGCCTAATGAGCCAAACTACGCAGCAGTCTCCTCCATGTAGCCTAACTCTCACACACATACGCACGCAAAAACAAACATGCTTTTTTGAACACCGAGTTTAACATGTTTAATTGTAAATAGTATGCTTTATTTAATTGATGGATCAATCAATTTTGTACATACATAGTTCTTTTTTTGTTGTTGTGGCTTTCTATATAAACCCTCTTGGGTTTCCAACCTCACCTGCACCACCTTTTTTTAACCTTTTTAAACTTTTTATATTTCCACTGTCTTTCGTTTTGTTTTTTCTGCGATTAAACAATACGATACGGCGTGCCATGAAGACGGGCCATTGCCGGAAACCTCGCCCCTTATACGTGTTGTCTTTTGACGTGCGGGGGGGGGGGGTCCATTGAGGCGAGACTCTTTCCTTCGCGAGACTTGCGTTCACAGATGTAGCGCGTCAAGTCGTTCCGCGCGACGGAGAACAGGGCGCACACAAACCGTCCAGCATGAGCACCGCCACCGGAGAAACATCATCGTCATCCTCGTAGTCATCTTCTCCATCGATGCTCATCGAGAGTTTACCCCCCCCCTGCCCCCGAGCAGAACGAGGGGCAAGGCTCGCGACACTAACTATTGGGAACACTCAAACTATCGATATCACCTATAATTATAGTCATAATAATAGCAGCGTATAATTGGCATGGTTTGTTCACGTGACAAACCTGACTCATTGGCTGCGTCGGGTGGTGGCGGGTTTAACGACACATTTATATTTACGCGATCTAACCCAAAAAAAACCCTCCATTATGGACAAAATAATAACATTATTACATATTATTATTGTTATTTCAATTTTGACATGCCTTGTAGATCCGTGGCTCGACTTCACACAACCGCTGACCCATCCCTTTGTGGTGTCTGCGTCCCCGAGCAAACAGGAGGAGGGCACAGTGCCGATATGAAAGGGGGGTCTGTGTACTCGGTGCCAAACGCATGCAGTCGCTCAGATCCTGTCCCTCGCTCAGATCCTGTCACCCACCGCTCACGTGACACCCCACCCCCTCTCCCGCCGGCTTTGTTTGGCCACCCGTCGCTGCCCAACTCCTCTGCCCCCCCCCCCCCCTGCTGCCCTCTGTCCCTCCACCATCCACCCCTGTTGCTCCGCTGGTGCCAGTTTAGCGGTTTTCGTTGCAAGACTTTAACGATTGTTTTTGGTTTTCCCTCACGACAACTTTTAGTCAAAGTGCCTACCGACGAATATAGCGACCGTCGATATTTTATCATTTCACTTTCAGGATGAACGCGTCTATTTGGCGATACTTTTTTGTGACGTATGAAGCGCTTGTCTTCGGTAAACTCAATAACTACTGTTTGTTGCGATTTAAAACCGGTCATGAAAACAACTTTTTTTAACGTAATTCTCATCAGGCCCCATGGAGTAAACGAGTGCAGCCTCCAGCTCTCGTTATCCACTCCCGTCTCTCCGGCCACTCTCTCGATGTGCTACGAAGAAGAGCCATTGCCTAAAATGCCTTTTACATATACCGTATATTCTTTCCCTTTAAGGCCACGGTATATATTTTGTTGAGGCTTTTTAATTTGTTTATTATTCACCGCAGACAGCATTGTGCAGATTTAGGAGCGATTCCAGGTGCGCATTAAGGATCCTGTATTGGTGTACGATGTTTAACAGCTGGTAAATTCTAGATTTGAAGATTTCGTGACTGCAAGGATTCATATTCTTAGGTTTTTTTTCGGTAAAGTTACGTAGGAATTATTTTTTAAATTATTTATATTTTTATATTATTATTATTTTATTTTTTATTTTACTTGACAAATCTCTTATTAATTTAAATTTTTTTACCAATGTGACTTTACCGAAAAAACCTAAGAAGCTGGTAAATTGTGTCCGGCGACACGATTTCAGGTGCGTATTAAGGAGCCCGTAGCAACGTACTTCGCATCGTGCTTGATCGATGGCCTCGCGACAGTTTTCGAACACTGGTCGGTCTGTCTCACGACATCTCGCAACATCTCGTGAGGTTCACTTCCCCAACCTTTCGCTTTCAAAGGAGTTGGCAAACCCGCCGTTGCCCCCACCCCCCACCACACACAGCTGCGTTTGCAAGGGTAGGTCGGGGTTTTGCGGCCTTGTCACAAAATTCTCACTTTGCGCTCCCGGCGATTTCCCCACCCAGGCGAGAGGCAAAAAAAAAGCGCATTCCATCGACGAGGACAACTCCACCACCCCGGGAGGGAAGCATTTCCTCCGCGGCGACAACGCCGCTCCTTTGTGCCACTCATCGCATGCAGCTGCAGCAGCAAAGTTGCAGCGGCGGCGCGGACGCACGTCACGTTTTCTCGCCGTCCAAAAACAATAAAATGCGAGACATCCCGCGCAGTCTGGTACATACGCGCGCTCGTAAAAGCCCTTCGGGTCAATCCACTGCAGGATCAGGGATGAAGGCCTCGGCCACGCCGCACAGGTCGTTGTAGTTGGAGGGGGGGACGATTTGACTGTAGCCTCATGCTGGTCAGCAGCAGGGGTCGGCGGAGACGGGGAGCTTAGACGTTCACTGCAACGATAGATTCCGCCGCACCCGCCCTCTGCTGCCCACGCAGTGCAGCTCCACAATCTTGTTTAATAAAGAACAAAACTTGTTTTCTTACGACAGCCCGGCCAGTCGTGCACGATGCAGGCTCCAGGCTCGGCCCCTCCTGGGATCCGACTAGACCGGGCGCATTCCGCACGGAGCAGCGACTCAATAAAGCCACGCGGCCAACGCCCCAACACCTTCCTGCTCTTTAACTGCCGAGCGTCCGGGGGTGCACGAACGCGAAACGTGAGCGACGTTTATTTACGTCATCCACCATTCTCCTTAAAGACCACGGCACCGGCCCGAGGAGGGGGGCGGCGCGCAGCCGGGGCGCGTGAAGCGGCGCAGCCCATGCCGGCGCGGTCAAAATGTCAAAAAATGTATAGATTTATTTTTAATAATTATAAAAAGTGTCAAAAACACTATTTTTTCGAAGCCTGGCTGCCCCCAGGTTTTGCGTGAAAGGCCCCATTGTCTGCGCTTGCGTCTCTCGGCGCCGCGTGGAGGGCGAGCGGCTGAGCGCGCAAGCGCGAGCCGCGTGCAACGGGAAGGCGTGAGCGGCGCGTGAAAGCGCTCGCTCAGTGGAGGCCGCACCTGGACACGCCGTTTGGCGTGCGCCAGGCTCCGAGCCTCACGCCAACCAAGGGTCTCTAGTACACGGCTTCATTTCTCACTCGACATATACAGTGAGGAAAAAGACACCTGGGAGCCAGAAATATTTCTGATTGAGATGGGTCAAATAGTTATTTCCCTCATTAAAATTCAAATCAATTTATAACATTTTTGACATGCGTTTTTCTGGATTTTGTTGTTGTTAATCTGTCTCTCACTGTTCAAATAAATCTACCATTAACATTATAGACTGATCATTTCTTTTGTCAGTGGGCAAACGTACAAAATCAGCAGGGGATCAAATTCTTTTTTCCCTCACTGTATTTCATACACAGCACTACCAACTCCAGTATAAGGTACGCCTGTTATATATATATATTTCCCTTTAAGAGCACGGTTTTATTTACGCACGTGTCGAGTTTACTTTTGTTTATTTGTGCCTGTACACCACTGCCAAAGCAGTATCGCCAAACAATATGTTCGGAGAGTGGCGAGGCCGCTCGCTGTGTCGGCGGTGCTGCTGATGGAGTGGATGTGGCCGTTCAAAGGGGGGGGGGGGGGGGGGCGCTGACGGACGGAGGGACAGTCAGCCTCAGCACGTGTTCTGGTCGAGCGTCCCAGCAATGCTGTCGCTTTTCGCACGAGGCCCCTCCTCGGGCTAGGAGACACCCACCACGGCTCGTCGTTCGAACGAACGAAATCGACAGAAGCAGAACAGCAGTCCGGTCAAGAATGCGAGGAATCCGGTCTCGTTGGCGACGGGATTCCAGCCAAGCGCGGTTGCTATTTGGACACTAATGAAGCCTGGATTGTGATTAGGAGGTTTTAAGTAACAGCTCCTAGGATGGGAAACACGTTCGAGATTGGGGCAATTGTCAGGAAAGCTACATCCTGACTCCACGGGCAAAATGTGGCTACTAACACGTGCCCCCCGTCATGTTCGGAGACCGACATCAACGTTTCTCAACTTCAGTTCTCGTAGCCGGCGCCTCGTTTATAAGAATACCAATATTTCGTTTTTGTTACACATGCAAATGTTTCCGCTGCGCACCGCACACACCTGACGGTTGTGAATCGCGGAGAGCTGTATCGTGTGTGGGTGGGGGTGGCATAGCAAGAACTGGAAGCTGCACGCACACACCGACGCAAACCCTCACGCCAACTGAGCAACACGCAGGCGTGCGAGAGATTTGTCATTCCGTGATGACACACGTGGACTCTAGATGAGAAAAAAACCGAACGCGTGGTTGGCACGACATTGAGATAACGAAAGAGAAAAAAAAACATTGAACGAATGCAAATTAGAGACATTGTGTTGACTGTCACGAAGAGTAAGTAAACTAAACTATTTAAAAACTAAGCTATTTTCATTTTTACCAGGTAAGGCCCACCGAGCTATAATTATAGTTCGACGAAGTGGCTTATCATGTGGAAAGTTATAGCAGGTCAAATATTCTTGAACGCACGTTGATTCTAAATTTGGGGGAACAAACACACGACCACGGGGAGAGAAACCTGTAAACTCAAAATATTCAGGCATCGTCAGGGTCGGGATCGAACCCACGACCTGCATAACAGGCGAGGGAAACAACATCTCGCCACCATGAGCAGGACACACGACCAGAAGCAACGATGGCCAGTGTTCGAGACTGGCGATGGAATGGCCACCAAGAGAGGGAGAAGCCAACTGAGAGTACGTCCCCTGCAGAGACGATGCCATGACATCAGCTCATGGGCCACGATGAGTGGGGGGGGGGGCTTCATCCAACAGTGGCTAGAACATCACCGACAACACTGACGGAATTCCGATGATGAACAAAATCACGTAAAAGCCACGTGTCCCCATACTGACAACAAAATTGCCACGGGCTAATAAGAGGGGCATTTTCAATTAGAGAGCATGCGGCCGTCAGGGACGGCGGACCACAACACCCTCACCCCCTGCCGGCCGTCGAGGAAATGCGAGAGGCTGGGTGTGGCGGCGCTGGACGGAGGAGCTGCCCGGGAGCGGTGATCAAACGATGTGGAGGCCGCACCCTGCCCCTGAGACGCTGCCAATTCCTCGCGGAGGCAGAATCGTAAAGCCTCGTCCGATCGTCGCCGGTGGGGTGGGAGGGGGGGCAGTCGCGTCGTCCGCACGTTTAAAGGGCGGCAATCTCACGCGACTGTTGGACCCGAGGCTGTCGGGGTCGAACAGCGAGTACTTTTACGAAGGTGCTGCGTGCGCAGGCCACCGCGGGGGCTGCCACGGGGGACGGGAGGGTTTGCGATACCAGGTTGCATTTTTGGCGACGAGTGTCAGATAATTGTTGAGGTTTTTGTTTTTCTATATTCATATGATTGGTTCTTTCGGCAAAGTCACGTAGATTGATACGCCGTCTCCAATCGTATTCAGGAATGAGCCGTCGCTATCACGTAAAGTCCAATCCCCCCAACTCTTGTCATAAACTCTGTCTCTCTATTCACGTGTGAAGAAGAAGGAAGGAGAAAGAGGTAGGAGCATATGAAGGAGAAGAAGGGCCATTTCAGGACACATCGCCGCTTATAAATATTTTGAGCTTTGTTTTTGCACCACTGTCAACGCAGCAACATCAGCAGCATCACCGGATAATTTGTTTTGATGAGTGTCAAGTCAAGAGACAGAGTCCGTATGGGACCTGCGGAGAACACCACACATGGGGTTGCTTCTAGCGACTTGTGGAGGAAGCACTTTCCCACGCACACCGCTGCTGCAAAGAAAAACTATTTTGTCGCATGGCAGTAAAACCATTTTTTTTCATTCTTAGTACTGGAATACGTAAAGCCAAATTAAGTGACAAAAGTTAACTTTTAGATCTATGTTTTTTTGTTGTTGTAAAGCCAAAGGCAAACCAGGCTGAGACCATCCAATTCCTGGTGTTTGAAACTCGAAATAAAAGCCCAGGATGCCAGCGGTGGCGGCCCCAGCGCTCCAACAACGCCTGGAGCCGACCGTGTTGAGACCGACGGCCTTCCACCGCTCGCTCGCTCGCTCTTGGATTTGACCGACGAGGGCCGTGCTGCGCCGCCGTGAAATCTGATCGCCGAAATGAGGGCACGGAGCAGGAAGCGGACGGCTCGGTGCGCAGCCAGGCGAGCTGATGAGATCATTCCGGACGCGGCCGCCCGTCAGCACGGCAACAACAGGTCGTGGGGTGGCGGTTCGCGATGGTGCAAATAAGCGAGTTAAAGAGTTTGTGAGCGACTTTTGTGTTCGTGTGCACAAGCTGTGCGCACTCTGACCGGCGTCACCGCTGTATGTCCGCACCAACACCACCCCCATCCACCCGGGTCTCAGCGGTCCCGGCATTCTACGTCGCTCTCGCGGTTACCGAGTCGCGGCACGAGCTCGCTCGCTCTTGCCAGGTGCGGCGTCCTTCCTGGGAGATTCTTTCAAACGCAAATCCGGTTATGCAAAGACAGCGCCCACCAAACCGTGAACCTCCCATGAGGCAAAAAATGAAAACACGAGAACGTGCAGGCTGTGTAAAGACACGCAGGTACGCCCCCGCGTAGCCGACGCTTTGTCTTTTTCGATAACGAAAAAAAAATGAAAACGAGAACCGCACCCGGGCCCCGTCACGCCTGAACAGGCGTTAACAAACAAAGGGCACGGCGGAGGCCTTTTAAAAGAGCAATGGGTGTGACCCGCACACGCGGGACATTGTATTCACACCGAAGAATATGATGCAGGTTGAGCGGCGGTGATGCAAAGTGCCCTGGACCTCCAGAAACGCTCGTGCTGCACGGGGCAGGGAGCTTGGCCGTGCGGGACTGCGAGAGAGCTCGCTCGCTTCTTAGCCGGCCACAGCGGCGGCACAATTTCGGTGGAGTTGGCCGAGCGTGGCGACGGAGAGCTATCAGCGGGGGGAGCTCGGGTTTTGCAGCACTCCGCGTGCCCGCGTGTCTGTGCCGCGCCGGTTCAGTGGCGGCGGCGGCGTCTCCTCCCAATTATTATCCACTAAATTATCAGCACCACGACTTTCACATTATATATATTTTTTTACACATACGCGGTGGCATTTCTTACAGAGATAACGATGATCATGATGGCGGCGACGCCAATGGCGATGAATCGTTCGATTTGGCATTAAATTATTTGCTTGAAGGAGTTGCAATGAATCGGTGTGCCAACGCGGTGAGGTGGTGTTAAGCATCAGCCCTTCACTTAAAAAAAATTCAAATTTTTTTCATTGAACAAGAGCCAATTACAAAGACCAAGCTATAGGGGAAAGGGATGATACAGTTGCTCCGTGGACAACAAGCCCGAGGCTATGTGCCCATGGGGTAAGGGGAGGGAGCCCCCTCATATTATTAAATGGCACAGAATTGGCCAGGCATCCCAATGTATCTGGATTCCTCCTTTAAACAAAAAAAGAGTCTTGAGACTCAGCCAGGCTTACCTGTGTAAATAATTGGCATTGTACACTTATTTGAATGAACGTGATTTGGGCAGTATTTAAATATGTATTTGAATGTAGAATAGATTTAGCGGGTGCGTGTGGGTCTCCCCCCTCGTATGTCGTGCCGCCTTTCATATGTACTCGCTAACAGCACTTGCCCCAAAAGTATGTTAAGGCTCCAAGGGGGATCTTTGTCTTTTGTGTGAGTGTGCATGCCCATTTACAAAAAAAGTCTCCTAAGTAGGACTCTTTGCACACGATTGGCCCAATACTGGCACACACACACACACAGTCCACTAATATTATAAATAGCATACACATGAGATGTGTGATAAAATTATTTTAAATTACATTGCAGCAACAAAACAAGTGTTAGTTGTTTTGTTGATCTGTGTTGATTTCACACGGGGGGGTATCTTCATCTCTTCTCGTCTCTCGCCAAAAGCAAAAACGCCGAATTCAAACCGGTTCCTTTAAAAGCGTTCAACCGAGAGCTCGCACGTGTGGAGCAGAGGCCAAACGACGCCTGCACAATTGAAGCCGACACCGACAACGTGCCCGCGTGCCAAGAATAATGAGATCCCCAATCAAAGCTTTCTCAAACTGAAATCCCACCAAGCATAAAATTATTTGCTCAGAGCCAGGCCTACATGTGGGCAGGATTAGAAGCCAACATTCCGCTTGCTTCACTCGAAAAAAGCCGCACAGATAGTTATTTTCCATCGCATTATCGCCAGCTCGGAAAGTTTTAGCTCACGATTGAATTTGGGGGGCTTTTAGTTTCTCTCGCTTACATCGACTAAATATGTCACTGCAAAGGATAAAACTATAGCCTCGTTTTGAAATGAAATTAACTTCCTGTGTTGTTTATTTAGGAGTGTCTTCTTGGTTCTTTCGGTAAAGTCACGTAAGTAGGACTTTACCGAAAGAACCAAGAAGATGAATCCCTGCAGTCACGAAAGCTTTAAATCGAAATTTATTTAGGAGTGTTCAAGTGCCGAGCCTGCCGTGCTATGAACCCAGTGAACCGAGTTGAATTCCTGGCCAAAGCTAACATCGGTGACGGCCGATTATCCGAACCGGTCCTAGGCCTACCCCATCCTGCCCTCGACAACCAGCACTGAACCAGAGTGGCGAAATATGTTCACACAACCACCCATGGCTGACCCGGCATGGTGACTTTTTTCTAGCAGTGGCCCGACACGGGGCTGCAAGTTATTCGATTTTTACCATATTCTATTTTATTAAAATTCATATCATATTATTGAATCTGCATGTTTGCTATGGTAGGAGATAAAAATTACAGTGTAACTTTATTATGAGGAATTTGCTTACTTTATAAGCTCACAAGGTTCCAGGAGAGAGCCACATGGCAGCCGCTACTCTGGGCACTCCATGAACTCTGGCTCAGCATTCCCTGGGCCAGGTCCCAAGCAGTAAAATCTTGTGGCCAAAACCAGCCGAGAGAGTCGGGGAGTGAATCTGCAGGCTTGCAAGGACCACGGGGAAGCTCCCGGAGATGTATATAGTCCTTTCGATATTATCGCAGCTACCCTCGCAGTTGGCGCTGCAGCGAGCAGTGGCACGGTGGTTGATGCGCCGCAACTCTGAACCCAGCCACGGCTATTGTCAGTGGCGAGCAAGGGGGGGGGGATGGAGGCTCCCTCCCAGCCCGATCGACTCACCCTGGTCAAAGTCGTCGAGCTTGAGTGGAGCGAGCGGAGACTGCGGGGTAGAGTAGCTGTGCTCTGCCTGGATGTGAGGTTGAGCCGGGGTGAGGTCCACCTCCATCAGAATGCTCTTGTCCACCAGCAGAGGGTCCTCGAACAGCGTGTTGAAGAGGTCCTGGGAGAACTCCTCCAGATTCTCCGACAGGTGCTGGTGGAGGGGAAACGGGGTGGGTGGTGGCGAGATGTGAATTCCCTCGCCTGGTATGCAGGAGGTCGTGGGTTCAATTCCAACCCTGAAACGTGTATACAGGGTGACCCAAAAAAAACGGGGCCCGTGCACACGGGGCCTATTAGAGTTGGGGCCCGTTTTTTTTGGGTCACCCTGTATTTGCAGTTTGCGTGTCTCTCTCCCCATGGTGGCATGGACTTTTCTCCCGGTCCTCTGGTTTTTCCCCTCCACATTTAGAATTAACATGCTATTAATGTCCACGTGATGATAAACCACTTCGTTGAGATATCATTTGTGGCCAGGTCACTTATGAGAAAGAGCTGTATAGCTCAGTAGGCATTACCTGGTAAAATAAAATAAAAATGTGTTTCATAGTTTAGTTTACATACAGCGGTGAAACCGGGTCAGAGTGGGCACAGCTGGTGCACACAAAGGCACGTTACAGGTGGTCCCCGCTCTTACGACGATGCATTCCCGGAAACCCGTCGTCGTCATCGTCGTTAAAACCGGACCCACTTTTTTCCCCACAGACAGCAGAAACAGTGAGAAACGTCACTCACCGACGCGCTTTTCCCTTTTCTCGGCCGTACTTCAACAGGGTTTCACGAGATAAAAATCCACAAAGGACACTTGAGAACAACGAAAGCTCCTCCACTTCAATTCAGCCGAGTCACGTTGGAAAAACCAGACCGATAATAATATAAGTTTTTTCGTGGGGGGTTAAATCCCGTAAATCTAAATGTGTCGTTAAACCCGCAACCACCCGACACAGCCAATTATTAAGGTTTGTTACGTAAACAAAACAATGCCAATTCGTTTCTAGTACAACACACCGGTGTGTTGGAGAGCAAATCCACAACATTTACAATCTGAGTACGACGTTTCGCCACCAATTACAACCGGCATCACGAGGCGGACAACCAAACTAGACCGACTCGTACAAGTCACGTTTCTGCGTCGTAAAATCGATCTACCAGTGGCATTATATGAACGTCGTAAATGTGGTACGCGGTAAAATCGGTACCCCCGTCGTAAATCGACCGGTAAGGAGATGGGTGTAATTAGCATTTAGGCCTCCGGTTACTGGTACAGTATTTGCAAATCGCACCATCATCGCCATCGGCTACAATCGATCTACTGCTGGAGGAAGACCGCCCCCCCCTAGCCACACCGAGCACTCATTTCAGGCAGAGTTCTGAAAACCACTTTCCATTGATGTTGGCCGTGTCCGGGACACATACGCAAGCCTCTGGGTTTGTAGTGCAGCGCGCAACCCACGCCACCTCGAATGCGCGCACGCACACACCACAAAGACAAGGATCCCCTATATACTCTTCACAAACTGTTGGGGCAAGTGCTGTTAAGCGAGCGCCTACGATGGCCGGCACGGCACACGACGTGGTGAGTGCCGTTGTTTACACAACGCGCCAGGTAATCATTCGAGGCGGAATCAACATAGGGAGGCCCAGATAATCGTCACTGGTGTTGGTGGTCATGAGCGGGAATCAAACTGGGGTCGCTCTGTTCCTAACCGCAGTGTGCTAACCGCTGCACCAACACTCTCCACATACACACCTTGCCAGCTCACGCTCACAACGCTGCCATTTTCTGGGCACCACGCGGATCGAACCGCCTGCCCGTGAAGCCTCCACACTGAGCACCATCGTCCACAGTGGCTATTTGTATTTCATTGCACCGTGCTGTCCAGGCACACGCTCTCACACGCACGGCCAATCCAGCACCCCCCCCCACCCCACCTATTGGCCATTTATTATCCGACTTTCCACAGAAGTCGTAGGACTTGCTCAATAGAGGGCACTTATTAAGAGGCAAAACATTTAGTCGGTTTACTGCAATTTCTTGAAATATATTGACCGGGCCCCCCAGTTATGCGCGACCGGCTTCGCGAGCAAAGAAAGGAGCAATTACGTCTGAAATTCTCCCTCCACCCACCCCCTGACGCTCCCCCCGCATCCCTCCACAGCCGGCAACGCTGTCGTCGCTGCTGCACTAACAGCAGCAGTATTTGCCATCCCCCCCCCCTGCCGAAACTGGGATATTCCGAATGGATGGCGAGCATCACTGACGTACGCCCGAGGGAGCCTTCTCCCCGTCGTTACCCACCAGCCCGCGGACGCGGGCGAGACGCGCCGAGGGTTTAGTGCGCACTCGGCGCGCATCGATTCACCCCCGCCGCCCGTCGTGGCCCGTCGCCAAACATCACCGCCACTGGGGGATTCCATGAATTGGCGCCATTCAGGGATCGTGATTCGATTCAAGGATAGAAGGATCGACGGGGTACATTTTTGTTACATTATTTTTCCCCCCCCACCTCATACCGTTTCTCCGATGGGAGCGGTGACGCAGCGCTTTTACCGACCCACGCTGACCGGCAACGGCGAAGAATGGTCGTGTTATCAACATGACGAGTAGAGCTGCGGGAAGCATTCACAAAGCAGTGGATCGATATAAATGATATCTCATGGCCTTTTTTTCCAGTTTCTACAGTCTCGTTGACTCAATTCATATAACTCTGCACGAATAATTCATAAGTGATTCTCTCAATCTTGCTGCAATCCATTCTATAATACCAAAAAACTCAGCACACTTGCCAATAAGACTGTGGCCCTAAAATAAAAATAAACATAATAGGTGACGTTTTAGTCAACGTCCCTTCTTCACAGCACAGTAGTCGGTCCTCGCTCTCAATGAGAGAGGAAGACTCAGAGGCGCCATCAGGAGCCACAGACGAGCGGGAAAGGCAACAGCCATGCCAACAATCACCCGAGTTCTGCAACCCTCTATATATTAAGGTGTTAGCGGCCGATTAATGAGTGCTGACATGTGGAAGGAAACTACAATACCCGAAGAAAATCCATGTGTGCGAGGGGGCAATATTCTATCCTGCTCCATCACAGGTGGAGTCCGCATTTGCCGTACCGCCTTCTCCTGGCGAGCCAGGGTACGGCTCCCCCACCTTGGCCACCCCCAACTGAAGGGAGTTTCACAACAACAACATCTGTGCGGTGATCCAGCAACCCTCGCTGCTGCTGCTGCTGCTGCCTCCACTGTGCTGCATCTTAGGCAGCAACGTGCAGCAGTGTAGCCACCACAGTTGCCGCCACCACCACCACCGCTGACGCCCTACTATCGACTATTGGCATGGACACGTCTTGATGCATTCTGCGTTAAATTTCGATTTAAAGCTTTCGTGACTGCAGGGATGAATTTCCATTTAAAGCTTTCGTGACTGCAGGGATTCATCTTCTTGGTTTATTCGGTAAAGTGACGTAGAAGGGAAATAATAAAATAAAGAAAATAAATATAAAACATAACAAAATAATATAATATGATAATAATTATTTTATAATGTTTTATTTTTATTATTTTATTATTTCCCTTCTACGTGACTTTACCGAAAGAACCAAGATGATGCATTCTGCATTGACGAGCTCAGACCCAACCAGGGAATGAATCCCACTGCATTTGCGTTGACCCCCCTCCACCCCCCCTCCACCCCCCACCCCCTCCGAGGATCGCAGCTCAGATGGCAGGAATTCCTCTCCCAAGCAGCACGGACTCGTCTTTGGGCCTCGAGTCAAATAGTCTACGAAGCAGAAATATTTGACACAAAGCACTGGGAAGGAGACTGGTGAGGATGTTAAACGTTGCACCGAGCAGCAGCAGCAGCTGAAGGGCTCTCCGACGAACGGCGCGGATCTCTTTGAGAGCGTTTAGAAAACCGCTTCCGAAACGCCATAAAGATTCGGCGCGGTTGAAACTCAGGTCAAGGTGTTTTTGACATAGGTCAAAGGGTCATATCTCGTCAGCAACACCGCAGGTCCCCGGGTCATGCGAGACGGAATGCGCACCACTGATGTTATCCGTGGTTGGTCATCAAATTCAGGTGGCCTGCATTCATCACGCAGCGCCTGAACATTGTATGTAAAAGTAGACATTTTCATGCGCTCTATAAACGGGTTCTTTGCATATGACATGTCTAAACAAATAAGCCAGGAAAATGTTTCCATTGTAGTAGGCTTTTTGTTCAACGGCTTTTGGCTTTGTCATTATCCTCCCGTGTCCTTTTAGAGTTCTTTGGGACTCAGAGGCGAGGTCACCCTTTATTTACTGGGCTCAGTTCTGCACACTGATTTACAGGAAAAAGCCACAGTGTCAACAGCACAACACTCCGGGCTTGGATCTCAGGCCAACGCCACATTCCTCGCCGCCGCTAACGCGGCCGCCATGACGACTCCTACTACGGCAAAAGTTCCATGCCGGCTAAGATGTTTCTTTTTTATCCCCCCCCTCCTCTCAAGAGTAGATCTCCTCATGACCAGGAGATGGTTGAACAGGGCCCCCCCCCCCCTGCCCACCATCGTTTCGATGGAGTGCTCTTACCAATAACATCCGGCAAACCCAGCAACGTTCAATTCGCGAGATGAAGCATTATCAGCAGAGTCAGGCGGACAAAACCTGGCCCAAAGTTTGCTCGCTCCAAATAAACTTTGCTGGATATTGGTCTGAAAAGAGAAAAGGCCGAAGGAAATTTTTTTTTTTTATGGAGACAGAACAGATGTTTCGTATATATTACAGATGTTTCCGATAACCAGGCCTACATTTCTAACCGAATATATTCTGGGCCACCGGTCGACTGAAGTATCGGTCACTGCGAGAGGCATACTGGATGTGGTGTGCAGGGTGCTAATATAATTGTTGGGTAGCTGACCGAGATAGAACCTGGTTGAAACGAAGTCGATTCCGAAAACAACAAACGATAAGAATAACAATTCGTGCATTTGGCATTTTCGCCATTCTCTTAGCACAACGCAGCTTTGGCGAAAGTGCAATGATTCCTAGACAGAGTAGTCTGCTACACCCCACAATCCCCGCCTCCCCAGAACTCCGCCGTCCCTTTCACTCCCAATCCGTGCATCTTCAATGACCGCGGCTGGGTGGCTGGGTGTCCTGGGTGT